CTTCCTTCCTTCCTTCCTTCCTTCCTTCCTTCCTTCCTTCCTTCCTTTTCTTTCCTATTTTTGTTTTGTTTTGTTTTTGTTTTTTGAGACAGGGTTTCTCTGTATAGCCTATGGCTGTCCTAGACTCCCTTTGTAGACCAGGCTGGCCTTGAACTCACAGAGATCCGCCTACCTCTGCCTCCCTGAGTGCTGGGATTAAAGGCATGTGTCAGCATGCCCACCTTACCCTCTTTCCATTCTTAACAAGGCTCTTACTGTAGAAAGAAACTACAGGTTCATAGAAAAAAAGCTGACACAAAATTACCCTCAGAATGCGCTTAATGAGGAGAGAACCCCACTACCGTGGACTTAGCATAATCATGATCAGCTTTGAATCCGGAGAGCAATTGGAGGTTGAGCATAGGCAACAGGGTGGCATGTTAAAGGAGAGTCTTCCCATCACATGGGAAGGGGATCTGCAGCAGGAAAGATAGCACCATCTGGCCTGAAGGGGAAAACAGACTCCTCAGCTGCAGAGGACACCAGGGTTTCTGAGTCTTACAGGATTTTAGGGGAAGAAAACTCTACCCTGTGTGATCTGCCTGGCTTCATGCCAAGGTGCACAGATGCAAGCACTTAGATGGGACTATAAACTTGTTTGCTGCAAGAGGGAGGGACTACAAGGCCACTGCAAGTGTTCTTATCAAGTTCAACACAGAGGGGAGTGCTGGGGTGGGAGATAGCTTGGCTTCTGAGAAAGAGCAAAGCAGCTAGAAGGGCTAGGAAACAGCTAGAATTTAGAAAAATTAAGAATTTAAACTGGGTGTGGCTGCTCAGTCTTTTATCTCAGTCTCCGCACAGAGGCAGGGAGTTCAAGGTCAGTGCAGTCTGAAGGGACTCTTGCCAGCCCTAGCACAGCAGCATGACTCTGGCACGCCTTGCCTTTCTCCACAATTCCCTCTGCCTTGCTAAAAACTGCTAGATTCCTAAAGCTAGCCACCATGCTCTAGTCCCTCACTTAGCCAATTCCTCCCCCTGAGGCTGATTACCACTGTCCAGCTACCAAAGTATTGAAGTTCAGCCATCAAAAGCCCCCTTTAGCTCACCTAATTAACATGCCCACTTAAAATTAAACACGGGGTTTTCCCTTGTACCTTTGTCACCTGCTGTTTGCCTATGAGCCAAGTGTGTCTCCTCTCTATCCAGAGGCAGTCCTTTGTCCCACTCCCTTCTCTCTGTCCTCTAACCCCTATGTCTGTCCCTGATTCCCTGGGGCAAATAAACCTCCTTTGTGCTGAGAACTTAGTCTCGGAGGTCCTAAGCCCATACTTTTCCTTTCATGGTCTACATAGAGAGCTCCAGGCCAG